CCGAAATCGTCGACAAAAATTTGCATCCGCAAGCACACACACACACATACACCACATCCATTTTTTAGGGTATGCCAAAATATTAGAAACCTTTGAAACGCAAAGATATACGAGGTCTGTTCAAAAAGTACCGGAATTACTAATAATTAAATTTCGCGGGTCTGGAGTGTCTGATTGTCAAATTTTTTTTTATTGTGTTGGTTTTATACATGCCCCTAAAGTATGATGAAATTTTCAGCTATATTCACTGTTTACTTTGTCTGTGGTAGTCGCTAAGGTTCGACGTGTTTTTCTGAGCTCGGCGATTTTTACAATGGAAGAATTTGAAAAGTCAAAGAATTTGTATTAAATTTTGCGTAAAAAATGAAATAAAGTGTTGCAAAGTGCAAAAATTCACCAGATATGGCTCTGTGTGGACTTTTTCCTATTCCCAAAGTTGAAGAAGACCATGAAAGGACGGCGGTTTTCCTCGATTGAAGAAAATCGCTGAGAGTGCTCAAGGACATATCAAAAAGTGAATATCAAGGGTGCTTCGAAAATTGGAAAAAAATGCTGGCATAAGTGTATTATATCTGGGGGGGACTACTTGAAGGGGACCACATATGTAGACGAATAAATAAATATTTTTTTGAAAAAACGAAATTCCGAAAACTTTTTGAACAGACCATGTATAAAAAATTTCATTTACGATTTCTTTTGCGATTACTATAACTTACCCTAAGGGAAGTTAATTGCTTCTTTAATTTTTTAACTTCCTTTAAATAAAAAAAATCCACATTGCAGAATCTAATAATCGATTTCTTAAAAAAAAATCTTGTTTACTATTTCTTACTACAATAAGAGGTATAGTCAAAATCGTCAAACATTATGTTTCAACAATTATTAGGAAGAAATGCATCTGGGCGATCATGCTAAAATCTAATCAGCATGATTCCTTACTGATACCTTTAGTAGAGCTTCTGAATTTTGAAAATCCTTTCAAGATTTTTGTGGAAAACTTGCATGAAATTTTTTGCCGATTGTTTCGCAAAACTAAATAACGCCAGTCCTTATCGAGTTATAGTCCAGTCATTTAAGCTTATTTAGGTAAGAATCTCAGAATTCGAGATACCCAGTTGTAAGTCTGTAAATACTTGTATATTGACACCCTAAAGTTGTCTCAAAACCTACATATGGTAGGGTGTAAATACCATATTAGTTTTTTTGAAACAACTTAAGGGTGTCAATATACAAGTACTTACCAGACTCAAAGCTGGATATCTCGAACTCCGAGGTGTTACTTACTATAATGACTGAACTATTACAAAATGACTGAACTATACATCAAATGACTTAAAATTTTAATATCGGCAAAACTAACAAATCGAATTTTTCTACGAAAACATAAATTTCTCATTTCGAAAGTTAAAAATTTTTTGAAAAAAGCTTTTATTCAGAAAAATTAAATCATGAATAATATTTGCTTAGTATCCAGAAAAACTGAATATATATATATATAATATATATATATATATATATATTCACACACATATATATTTATATATATATATATATATAGTTTATACATATATTTGTGTGGTGTGTATAAATCTATCTACCATATCTTGGTGATATACAACGCATTTTAAATTGGAAAACAAAGCTTAATAATATTTAAAT